CTGCTAGCAAGCAGCTAACCATGTCCCTTTAGTGGCTGGCGGTATTTTATTAGAACACGTTATTTGTTTTCCGTGCCTTTCTGAATACAGACACCAACCCATCCCTGCACATCACATCCCCTGCACAGCCTGGAACATAACATTTATTTCCATGATCTGCCATTTTCGCTATTATCCTCGCTTGTTTCTTCACAATACCTGCAGAACTTCTGATGATTCGGCTGGAATAGAACATGGGCCGATATATGCAAATGTTGGGGGCGTAACTATTAGTGATCCCGACTGTAACGTCACAGTCGGTGTTATGTTCTGATTTGCCTATTTTTCAGTGTTTTTTTGCATGCACGAAATTTACATAAGGAAACAATGGTGTTTGAGGCTCACTGTATGTCATTTTCATGTACAGAACTGTTATTATTAAACTATGCCAAGGTAAATACAGGTTTACATTCTATGGCACCTTTAAAGCTTTTAGTTAGCTTGAAAACAGTAGCTGCTAGAATAGGTTGTCTGGGACAATAAATGTCATCATGCTGACCAGGTGAAGTAATTTACTCTAGTCTGCTGTCATCGCCTCATAATGTTTATAATTGTGCTCTTACAAACTAATCTGGCTCAAATTGTGGGGGAAAAGACTGAAAGAGTTGTCTGAAGCTTAATGGTTGTGATGTTGAAAGTGAACGTGAAAGTGAAAAAGTGACGTGACATGTGGCCAAGTATGGTGACCCATACTCGGAATTAGTGCTCTGCATTTACCCATCCAAAGTGCACACACACAGCAGTGAACACACACACACACCGTGAACACACACCCGGAGCAGTGGGCAGCCATTTATGCTGCGGCGCCCGGGGAGCAGTTGGGGGTTCGGTGCCTTGCTCAAGGGCACCTCAGTCGTGGTATTGAAGGTGGGAGAGAGCGCTGTACATTCACTCCCCCCACCTACAATCCCTGCCGGTACGAGACTCGAACCCGCAACCTTTGGGTTACGAGTCCAACTCTCTAACCATTAGGCCACGACTTCCCCACTTTTGAAGGTGGTGTAGTTAGCTTTTTACTTCTGGCGATTGTATTTAGGCTTCAAAATTCATAAAAATTGTGTTGATTTGTGAAGATTATCATGATGAACAATGTGTAAAAATGACTTTTGTTGGACACAGAGCTTATTTTCTGCAATAACTCCATAGAAATATCCTTCTTGGTTTTTGTTGAGGGAACCAAGGTGAGGCTAACTTCAGGGTTGGCCTACAAAAATACATCATCGCTGCAGCCAACCTTACCAAACCACAGATATTTACCAGCTAGCTAGATAGGGTGCTGACAGGACGGCATTGAGCGTATAATGTGATGTTGATTCTTTTTCTGGTAACAGGAAGTGGAATGACGTGACCTATCTTTGGGACAGGTGGGTTCTGCACACCAGTGCCACCTGCATTCGGCCTACATGTAATCCCCATTCTGCATGCTTTTGTCACACTTGCATTGTTCGCATTGCTGATTTGTGAGCAGTCAAACACTTTAGTGTTTAGACAAGAACATCTGCCATGTGTGGCGGCTGCCAACAAGAATCTGAAGTATGTCAGACAGTCGGATTTGCTCTGAAATTCAAGTTAAACTATGACCAGCCAGTATTAGTGCTTGGAATAAACAACGACCGCTTGTGATAAAACTACATAAAACTCTGAAAGAGTAAACAGTTTAATCTGTAATCCTTTAAATAAAATGTTGATCTGTTTAATGGAAAAGAATGTTTAATATTTATATGAGCTCACAATTCTTAACAGTCTGCTTGGAAAGAGGTCACATTTAAACCATTTATGAAGACGAACTGTTGTGACTTCAGACACTGAAACATCCAACAGATTCATAAGTCTCATGTGACGGCCAGTTAACTGCAGTTCCTCCAAAGCATCCCATTTGTCCCATTCCAAGCATTCTGGAGGGATTCCCTCTTCCGCTGCTTCCCTCTCTAATCCTCCACTCCAGGAGGCATCTATATTTGGAGAAAATTGTGAGAGCCCCAGTCCAGATGTTTTGCCAGGCCGACACCTGCTCTCAATACAAGTCAGCAGGGAGCAACTAGCCCACATCATGCACGTCCCCAATGCTCTTGCAAACCTCAGTCCCAGCAGCTTTTTTTTTCTCGGAGCGGAGAGGCGCTGCAGTGTCTCGCCTCAAAGGCGCCTGTGGCCTCTTTTACTTATACATTACTGCAAATGAGACCGCTTGGCTGTGATCGTTAGATGAGACCCGTTAGGTGTATCCAACAAGGATTTGTAGCTGTTTCATCTTACTGTTTATTAAGTGAGATCCTGTTCAGAACCCCGGAAGAAAGGCGAGACGACTTGTTTCCCTGTTTTTTTCTCAATGGAAGGCATGTATTACATATGAATTGGCTGAATCACACAGTGTATCAAATTATACAAGTTGACATGCTGAAGGCAAAGCCAAATAATGACGAACTTGAACTGTCCTGGCCTCTACAGTGACATATTTGTCTATTGAGGTCTGAAGAGAGAAGCAATTATTGACACTTAGCATTCCTTTACTGTAACATCTGCTTGTGGCACAAAATTGATTTTTCGAGGTTTCATATTTCAATGTTAACCTTTAAATATTTTTAGGATGTGTTGAATTTGTTTTGCAAAGATCGAGTAGCAGTGGTTTATTAATGATTAAAAGTGATTTTTTGGAAACGCTGGTCTATTCTGGGATGTCCTCTCATGAATAGAATTTCCTATTGGCCTCATTCATGAAACATGAGCAGAATGAATTTCTGTGCAAATTGTTCTTAAAATCATTCTTATGTAATTTGTCTCATTCAATTCAGCGCAACAATTTATATAAGAACTTATGAATGATGTACACAGAATTTGATCTTTTTTAATAAGGGCAAGAAGTTTTTTTAAACCGTTGATGTTTTCTGATGATATAGAATTTGTTAAAATACTGTATTTTTAGTGTAAAAATAACATTTACATTTATGTAGGGCAGCTGCAAGCTATTCTTATGTAGTCTTCTACACATCCAAAACAAATCAAGCAAATGTTTTATAAATTTGTTATATGATAACAAAACTTAATTTTATACAGAAAGAAACATACGCATGGATGAATTTTCATTTCATGCCGACTTGAACGTTACACCCTGACTGGCTTAAATAGCTTTTAAAGACTGTAGTGGATATCATTCATCAGAAGCTTTAGGTTGAATTCATGGATTAAGACATGTTTATGCAACTTGCATGAGGATTATACAGCATTTCATGGTGCTTGATGACAATTGCTAGTGAGAGCAACAATGTTCTTACATATCTGCAGAGGAGCTAAATTTATGGCCTCTAGTTTCAAGTCTATATATGGTCCAGGCTGTAAAATGATTTTGACAAAGTAAACCAAAATTACATTTTGGTACATCAGGGCAAGCCAGATAAAACCCACAGTTTGGTCAGCACATTTGCAAGCATGCTGTCCGGTCTCATGGCACTTGTGTGTGCTTGCATTACTGTGGCTGTGACAATCCACAGTACTCAAGGGGCTGATAGAGTTACTTCCACATGTCAGTGCTGTTTAACCTAAGGTGTTGTTATTAAGGTAGTTAACTAAAAGCATACTGACAGTTGAGGAGTGAGTGCTGTTTTTACTGAACTGCTGCTCTGCCATGGCAGCTGTTGACCTGAAAGAAAAAGGTTTACTCTAATGGCCATTACGGAACCCCTTATGGCAGTGCAAAGAATAAATGGCAGGGCTCAATTTAAAGATTGGGCTAGAAATTGAACAGACACTTGCCCATCTGGGCTGTTGATGCATTTATGCCGTCAGTCTGTGTGAATAGATTCTATTACACTCAACATTATGGAATAGAATGCAAAACTCGAATGAAATAGAAAACGTTTATTTTAATATTCTGTCTTAATGTCACATTGCTCATGCCACATGCATTGTCCAAAGTGGGCGACTAGTTTGTATTGTTTTCTGTGTGCCAGTCTGCAAAGCCAACTTGCTATGCATGTCAATTATCCTTTACAGATTGTTGTAAATGCATGTTCTATCAAAATCTATCAAAAAGTTTTTTTCTGACACATTTTAAAGGGTGTGGTTGCCGCAAGCCCGCCGGCCACTCCTTCGTCGAATCCACCGGCCGCGCCATTCTCAAGCCCGCCGTCCGCCGCTCGCTCTAGCCCGCCGTGTGTGATACTGCGTGTTTCGTTGTGAAAGCGAAACTACTTTGTTTGGCCTTCCAAAATAGGACACGACTAGAAATCAGTGG